CAGAAGTGGCGCATGGAGTGGGCATTGATGACACAGGAGGAACTGATTGGAATTCTCTGTGCATGCAATCAGGAAGGAGAGTTGCAATTAGGGCTGAAGAAGAAGCAGGAAGAGGTAAATGTTCCCACTTTGGCCTTCTGCCACTTTAGACCACCACCATAATTGTGCATTTATACCAGGGCAAGAACCTTTCACTTATGAAATTTAGATTTACAATGTTTCTTCCAGTGAAACCCTTTCATACAGTGTGGACACAGACTATGTGCAGCCTGAGTAAAGGGACTGGTGCCTTTAGAGATGCTGCATAGTTTTTGCTAGCATGGTCTCCTTTGACTCAATTAAAGCACTGAATCACATTTCCTATCAGTAAGATATTGGGATATAGACTGTGTTTATGAGTACTAATGCATGGATGGTGGATTTAGTATTTCGTTATCTTTGGATACATGTGGATAAATCTCTAGTGTGAAGGACTGATGCTAAAGTTCTTTTGCAGTCTTCATTAGCATTGCCATATGCTAACTAAGGAAGGATAATTTTAGCCCCTCCTCATGAGAGATCTGTCTAGGTATTGCTTCTGTAGTCTAACTACAAACTGTGTGTAAGTTTCTGTAGAGTCTTGTAAATTTTGAGTAAAGGAACTATTAGGTGAACCATCTTCTGGGACAGAAATCTGTGTATGACATTGAAGTTCTTTATACTGCATGAAAGAAAAGGCAAGATGTGCTCATGAACTTTTAAATCAGTGAATTGTCCCACACCAGACAGCATTGCTTGTGTTATGGCCTGAATGTTTGCATTTCCACTGTCCTGTTTTGTGCTTGCTCTGAAATCAGTGTCCTTATTGTAATTCAAAATGTAGACTGTGCAAGGGAAAGTCATGTATGAGCTAGGTGGGTCACATCACTTGGTACTCTTTGAAAACCTTCAATTTTATTGTCTAAACAACCCAAAGTAAAGGACCATGAACCCAGCTATTCAGGACACACAATTAGGGCTGAAGAATAATAATAAGAAGAAGAAGCAGGAAGTGGTAAGCCTTCCTCTTTGGCCTTCTGCCACTTTAGGCCACTTCCATAATTGTACAGTAATTTGTACTAAGGCAAGAACTTTTCAGGCACATCATTCAGCAGAAGAGTGTGGAAAGGCCTCATCCTGCTGTCTACAATTGCACACCTTCCTAGTGGCATCAAGGTTTTATGGAATTCAGATCAGAATTGGTGAGGTGTTCCTTTGCTGAATGTTTGTAATTTTCTTCAGAGAAAAACAAAACTTGAAACCTCAGATGATATCTGAGGAATTTTCTGTTGACAGAGACAATTGGAGTTCTTGGGCTTCTCCAGGTGAAGTTCCTACCCTGTTATGCCCAGACCACTAAGAGCCAGATGTTGCAACTATACTTAATGACCCCTTTCTAAGGAGTATGCATTCATGGCAGGAACTCTTCCATACACTTTTCTGTTTTTTAGTTTTAAGCAGGAGTTTCATTTAGAAATCCTTCAGAATGAAAAACCCTGCTTCTAATTGGTTAAGATCTCAAATATGACACACAATGTTTGAGAAGGCAGATATATTTTTTATGCCTTCAGGGTTAGGAGATTACCTTGTCCTTTCCCAGGATCCCCAGGAGGGGAGTTGAAGTGTAAAATGAGATGAAATGATAAATGTGAGTGGTGTTTGCAAGACACAAGTGTGAGTGGTGGGGTCAGTATTTTTCCTCCCTAGGAGTAAGTTAGTGACCATTAAGAAGTCACAAACTTTTCCCAAGAAACAAAAGATCGAGTTCCAAGCTCCTGATCTGAGAGGGATTCTACAATCACATCAAGGTGAGTAGAGCTAAGTGGATGATGATAGTATAAATCAACAACAGTTACCATAGTGCCTTTTGTTGTCTTCAAAATAGCTGCAAATACCTTCAGACACAGTAAAAATCGAACAGAACAGATACAATAAAAACGAAACAAGGAATGCAATAAAGGACTTCAAAATAAGCCACTAGTAAATCCAAAATGGCTACCATAATATGTCTGTCTTTTAAATAGCTTCTCATGCCAACAGATTTAACATAAAAGAGAATAGAATTCGGGAGGCTGATGCAAACGTAGTTGTGAATTTGAGGCCACATGTGCTACATAGTGAAGTGAAGGTCAGCCTGAACTACATAGTTAGACCCTGTCTCCAAAAATAAAAAAGGAATAAGTAGCCTTGTTCTCTGAAATAGGTCACCCAAAGGGGAACAACAGTCAAGTGTAGAGAAGCCCATTATTAACACTGTACCACCACACCTGATTAAGTAACTGAAGTCTATGCTAGCCAGATGTAAAAAGGCACAACTATTTAGAAAACAGCTTGACACCTTTTAAAAAAGTTAATTATATACTTACTATTCAGCATATTTCACTATTTGCCATTTAACCAAGAAATGGAAGCATAGCTATTGAAAGACTTTTACAACAAATGTTCAAAACTATTTCTGGTAGGCAAAAAAAAAAAAAAAAAGTGAAGTGATCTACATCTACCAAGCAGGTGAATGAATTATATAACCATAGGGTGGAAAACTATTGAACGATAAAAAAGAATTGACTCTCAATATTCCCAGTGACTTGGTGGCAGTATCATGATTCAATTTATATACAGTTCTAGGAAATTCAAGCTATAGTGACAAACAAGAGCAGTGTTTGCTGGAGGACAGACACAGGTGGGAAAAGGAGGGATTACCAAAGGGCACAAGGAGACTTCGGAGGATGGTAACTATGTTTACTGTTTTAATAGCAATGGCTTCACAAATCAAACCTTATCATATTACACATTTTTTTGTTTGCTTTTGAGGTAAGGTCCCCCTATATAGCCCAGGCTGCACTTGAACTCACTGTGTAGCCCCGGCTGGCCTAGAACTTGCAGTGATCCTCCTGCCTCAGCCTCCTGAGTGCTGGGATTACAGTCACGCACCATCACACTCAGTTTATACTGTTATATATATGAAATATATCAGTTAAATAAAGTTGATATGAAAGCCACCTTTAGCCACACACACACACACACACACACACACACACACACGGACATTAAATTCGCATTAAATTAGAATCAAGTTTAAATGCCAGTTTTAGCATTTGTTGAAAAATATTATGACGACTACACTTGTACGGAACTCTGATGACAATATTGTTTTAAGAGCTATGCATTAAGACAGAGTAGAATAAACAGCTATATAAGAGAAGTTAGGATGCTAAGTGCTCCACAGTGAGAGAAGTTGTTTAAGAGTCCATGTTCTTCTTCTAGTGTTTATAGGGTACTGTGGCTCCAACAAAATTTTCACTTCTTTGGAAATCTAAGGGGCAAAGGATACAGCTCAGCAGTACAGTGCCTACTTGATAAGTGCTAGGTCCTGAGTTCGATTCCTGGAACCAAGAGATAGAGAGGAGAGAAGAGAAAGAGAGAGAGAGAGAGAGAAAGAGAGAGAGAGAGAGAGGCAGAAAGAAATTTGATTGTATGTATATGGCTAAACAATTACAAAAAAATCTTCCTTTCTTTTAGGAATGGCCACATAGTTACTCTCAGCAACAGAAAATAAGCAGACACTGAATCTTAGCTATAAGCCAAGAATTAAAAAAAAAAAAAAAATAAATTGACTAAACCGGGTGTGGTGGCGCACACATGTAATCTCAGCACTTAGAAGGCTGAGGTAGGAGGGTCACTGAGTTCAAGGCCAGTGTGGACTAGACAGTTAGTTCAAAGCTAGCCTGACCCACATAGTGAGATTATTTCAAAAATAAAACTAAACAAACACCCTCAACAACAACAAAACCACTAAAAGTTGCCTCGTCAAGGTTTTCTTTACCCTATTGCTGCCTCAAAGCTAACAACAACTTCTCAGCCATAGTATAAAGTAAACCCCACAGAGAACAGAGCCATTCATCCATCATTAACAATCATGTTAGATTTCTTACATGAACGAGAAAATATTCAGTATTTAATCCATGGATACTTACATGTATTTTAAGTATGCTTATATGTCATTTTTAACAGGGCACTGTCTATACCAGAATTTGTATATATGTATAAAATTTCATATATATTAATCATTATAAGTATACATATACTACACATAAACTTTATTTTTATAGAAACTTCCAACACTTATCATGCCAGAAAGTCAAGGCCAGAGGCCTCTGCCCAAAATCCCTCAGGAAAAGGTGTCTAGGCTGCCTACTTATGCTAGTAATTATCCTCAGTTTCAGTCCGGGCAAACCTTCCCCAGGTCTCTCAGGTTTCCAGGGAGGACTTGGCTTGCATGATGACCTGAGGTCATTCCCAGGATACCTTTTTGGGTTTTCCCAGTGAACTTCAGGTTTACTTTACAAGAGAGCTGTATGCTCCATAATGAGAAGCCCAGGAACTCACTGTGTGGGAAAATAAGTGGGTAGGGAAAACAACTCAGGCTGGTTATTTCTCTTCTCTGAACCTATGCCAGACCTGTCCATGCTACCTCCTTTCCTGTATTCCAGTTCACGCAAAGGTCAGGATGAGGAGTACAGATCTGGCTGCTGGGCTCCCACAGACTTTACCTTCCCAATCACTCTCTGCCAGGACACAAGCTTTTACTATAACCCGCATTTCTTAACCACAGAAACAATGGTGAGTCAGAAGGATGAATCAGTATTTCTTTAAATCTTGAAGAAGCTTCAAGTGCCCGACCTAGGGCTAAAGGCAGGAGACAGACCCCATGGCCTCTTCATATTCAGTCTGCACTACTGAGTGCTGAGGACTTCACTCTGCTGTTACCTTTTATGAAAATGCCTTGGTGCAGGTGTCGGGTTAGGGTCTCTTGGGAAAATGAACTTGGGTTCCTTCTGTACTTGTCCATGAGCTGTCATTCTGGGGCTGTCTTACATATGGAAATTTCATTACAGGCTCAAGACCATTGTCAAGTATAATGTGAGCCACGTATGTGATTTCAAACTTTCATGTATCCACATTACAGAGTAAAAGGAAATAGGTGAAATGAGTAATAAATTTTATTTAACAATACATCCAAAATACTGCAATATACAAATTATTAGTGAGATGTTACACATTTCTTGTCAAAATGCAGTGTACACACAGCTCAACTGCAGTGCTCAACAGCCACCACTGGCTCTTGGCTACATCAGAAAACCAGCTGTCACCCCGTGCTATTTGTTTCCACCTTCACATCTACCTCACTTTTTTATAGCTGGATCAGAAAACATACAGACTCTGCCTGGCCAGTCATAGCAGCTCATTCAACAGTTGTTTGGATTGGGCATGAAGAAAATGGGATGAAGAAACACTGGAATAAATTGTCCTCTCCCTAAATGTGTATTAGACTTTCTCTTTGCACTGTCCTCTCCCTGCAAGAGAAAAAGATTCGCACTGGATCATTTTCTTCTTCGCCTCCATTTTTAAAAATGAACTCATTTGGAAGGTATTTTCGTTTTCATTGCTGCCCTTCAATTTTTTTTTTTTTTTTTTTTTTTTTTTTGTAGTTTTGAGACAAGGTCTCTCTATGCTGTTCAGGCTGGCCTTGGGCTCCAAGCTTTGTAGATCAAGCTGGTCTTAAATGTGCAATGATCCTCCTGCTTCAGCCTCCCAAGTGCTGGGATTACAGAAGTGCACCACCACACTCAGCGACCCTTCGGTTTTTGCTGTCTATCTGTCTTTCAAAGGCAGGGTTTCACTATGTAGTTCTGGCCATCTTTGAAGTTATCAGGTAATCTGGATTTCTCTTGAACCTGCAATCCTCCTGCCTCAGCCTCTGAATGCTGGAGATTGCAGGTATGTACCATCATTCCTGACACATATTCTTAAATTTACAATAAAGGCTGAAGGTTGTGGCAGTGGTTACAGTGAAAACTGAAGTTACAGTTTCTTTGAGTTGAATTTAAAGCTATCAAAATTATGATTTGTTTTAGCAGCCAAACTTACATTTACTTAGACAGCAATTTCCTGTCCATTATTGCATTTTATAAAACCTGATAAAGATATATATATATATATATATATATATATATATATATATATATAATAAATTTATGTTAGGGTTTTGTGGTAGATTTTAACAATTAAAACAAATCAGCATACTTATAGTAGAAATGACAAACGATTATCTCTCAAAAACTATAGGGACTGGGGATTTAGCTCAGCGGCATAGGTGCCTGCCTTACAAGCACGCAGTCCTGAGTTCCATCCTCGGTACCAAAAACAAAACAAAACAAAACAACTATGGAATGAATTTTGTTGGATTCAACTTTTCATTCAGCACAAAACTCAGCGAATTAATGGAAGGTAATTTGTTACATTTCATCCCCTGCATCAATGAATATCATGCTTAAGGGTGAAATGCCCAAACTCCTGCAGCTCACTTTTCCCTGGGTACAACAGTGAGTTGCAAACAAAAGGGGTGAGAACCCAGAAAACAGAAAAGAGAAAGGAGACTGGCTCACGAGCCACAAGGTAGAGGGCATCAGTCGGCAGTGCGCGTGGGCAGAGAAAGTTCAGGGACCTGGGCGCCTCAGGGTCATCGGGACCACACAGTCACAAGGATTGAAATAGGGACAAAGAGCTGTAGGGAAATAGTACTTAGAGAAAGTATAGATGGGCAAGCCATGGTTTGTGACATTATAAAAAGAGACAGTGCCAGCCTCATAGTCCAAGTAAACCCCAATGCGGCGGGGCGGCACAGACATGGAGAGGAGCAGGGAGGTGGAAGAGTCCTCATAGGCTCGGTATTCACGTTTGTGCTGTAACCCGATCACCCAGTATCCGGTCTGTGGCTGGTATCTGGAGTAAGTGTTCTGATTGTTGGCATAGCGGCTGCAAGAAAACGGAGGTCCTGCGGAATGGCTGCACACGCCCAGGATCCAGGCGGTCTTCTTAGTCACATCCACCTCCCAGTAGTATTTTCCTGAGGAGAAGTGCTGAGAGCCCAGTATGCTACAGTCATAATGTTCCTCCAGGCAGGATGGTCCCGCCAGCTTAGCACCCACAAATCTCACCTGTCTCCGGTTTTTAGACAGCACGAGATTCAGATTAGCAGAGTATGGATTCATGGTCACATCCACTATAGGAAAAAATGCAACATCAGTAGAAAATTTTGGACACATGGGACCTGTCACACTGGGATAAAGGGACACAGGAGGTAGCCGGGGTTGGGGGAAAGGACCTAGGGGGATGGATAGGGCAGGGGAGGCAGTGCTATCTCAAACCTGAGAGAATGTTTGGGTTCTTTTGGGGAAGAGCATGTGAAAGGGATCAGACAAATCAGCTCAAAGAGGTCATGGTTTCCACTCACCCCAGTAGCTCTGGACATCCGTGAGCTCTGTAACGATCAAGAGTAAAAATCATTGGCTAGAATCAGTGATTTGGGACTGGTACCTCTCCTTACCAGACTGAAGAAAATGGCAAGGAATTCTGAGAATATGATCTGGTAACCTCACCCTTCCTTTGAGACAACTGCAACTTCTTCAGCACAAAATATCCCTCCCTCTGTGACCTCCCTCACCACCTCTATTCCTAGGTACCAACTCTACTCTCTATCTTACTTATTTCATTTTTTCTTTTTATCGGTACTGGAAATCGAACTCATGACTGCCTGCTTGCAAGGCAGGTGCTTATGCCGCTGAGCTAAATCCCCAGCCCCTATCTTACTTCTTTCTTACCAGTATATAAATTTCACATCTAAACTCTGCCCAAATCTCCTCACCTCGAAACACTTGCAGCATCTTTTTCAGATCTGGGGCTCGAAAGGCACTTCTCAGCTTGGTGGGGAGCACTTGGGGCTTCCTCAGGGCCCAAAACTCACTCCTGAAGAAGACAGACCCTCTGAGCCCTGTACTGCTGACTTTGGGTTCCTCCAACACCCACCTCATTCATTTCCCTGGCCCTCTGCAAACTTCAGTACTCCTTAAGGAAGTGAGCATTGCTTGGCAGAAAGCCCTGGTATAGGATCTGAAGACTCAGACTAGAAACTAGCTTCTCACCACTTGTAAAACTCAGTAAGTTACAGCCCCATTTTCTGTGTTAGTTTTTATAAAATACAACGTGTCTCTCTCTCTCTTTTTTTTTTTATATCCTAGAGATAGTAGGAAACATTAGAAAACAGCCTGGAAAATCCTTTGCTAGCTCTAAAGAAGATGCACATACTTAAAATGTTGGTGAAACCTAGGAGGGTCCAGCAGAAAAGGATGCATATGTCTGGGCTGACAGGAAGAGGAGCAGGAAGCTGTGCAGGGGCTGATAGTATTAAATACTCCTCTGAAGTCTCTGGGGTTGGACCCTACCTGCAAGGAGCCCAGGAAGAAGAACTGCAGCTAGAGAAAGGACATACACTCCGTACAAACTTAAGTTTAACAACAGATTTCTGTGAAAAGCCTGAGGGTGCTAGGTGGGTGGAGCTTTAGATGTCATCTTATTGGATGAGACTCTAGACTTTGTGATTGACAATAGTTGAGATCTCTTCCAGGGCCAAAACCATTCTTCTCATGTCTCTGCTCTATGTTTTTAATGGAATTCTGTAGAACAAGGCAGCAATGCCCAGGCTAATCCAGTGTTGGTGAAGAATTAGAAATTCAAGGCAGATTTTCCCAAGAGCAAATTTTCAGACCTTGGGAAACAAAGCAGGTGGGAGTTTCCTTCAGATAAAAAACACAGGCAAATGTACAACTCCCTGTATACTGGGGCAGCTGTAAGTGTGAGAACCAGAGCTGAAAACAGGTGGATAGTAGAAATAAGGTCATGTGACAGGGTACTATGTGGGTCACTGACACCACAATCATTTACTCCCGGTGACCCATCATCCCAATTCTAGCGTGGAAGCTAGTGCATTTCCTTTATTATACGATCCCCTCATTCTCTTGTGATGAACACTGAGACACCAGTCTGCCCTATGGTTTTTTTCCTTTGCCATGTAACTACAGGCTAATCACAGTTCCCGGCAATCGAAAAACATTACCTCATATTTTCTTATGCATACCTTTGTGTGAGATCATTCACATCCTAAGGAGGAAAAACACAGATTAAATCAGGTCATCTCATCAGATCATTTCTACCACCCCATGATATGGGACATACCAAGAGTAAATAATCCAAATGTGGAGGTCACAAAGGAAAGCTTAGAACACCAGGCAGGATATCCCTGAAAATCCATGGGAGCACACTGAGAGATGACTCAATTTAGAGTTCCTTTATTTTTTATGATTGTGTGTAATGTTACATATTCTTACCATTTGTTATTTGTCACACATTGTGCCTGGGCCAGGACAATAATAGGATAACAGCCTCTGTCTTTGAGAAGTTTGCAGTCTATTCTGGTGGCTGAAGACGTTAAAGCACACAAGCTTAAGGTACAGTTGTCTCTTAACTTCATCTCCTCTAACCCTCCACCTTACTACTGATTTCTGCTTTCACGGATTTCGTCATTTCAAACATGTTCAGATTTACAAACTTGTTCTGCCTGAGGCCTCTTTCTCATGATGATTCAGATTTAACACCCCCCCCCCGCCCACCTCTGCAAACAAGGCAAAGGCATTCCAAACTCAAGGTATTTTAAAGAAAGTTTAGTGTTCACTTCTTAATCCTCTTCAAAATTTAGACAAAACAGGGACCAGGGATTTAGCTCAGCAGCTTAAGCGCCTGCCTGGCAAGCACAAGGTCATGAGTGTGATACCCGTTACCAAAAAAAGAAAAAAGAAAAAATTAGACAAAATACTGCATAAAAATTATTGTATATTCACATGCCAGCCCATTGTTCATCAAGCCAGGTCATTTCAAATTCTTAACTTCTTTTAGCCACCTACTATCTACCTTCATTGCCCCCACTGCCGGCTCATTTCAGTAAAACTGCCTGCTTGCCTTCTGGGGGGCTTTTCAGCTTCTGCTCTGTACCTCTTCATGAGCCTGAAACAAGGTCAACAGGTTGATCCCACAGGGAGTACAATTTTCTCCGTGTTGGGGTTATTTTGGGCTCTGTGTCTCAGAACATAACTGGAACTGATGTTAAGACAGAAAACAGTGGGGGTGCCAGGTAATATCAGTTTATGCCAAGTAGCAGAACTGTATCCACCTTAAATCATGATGAGAAGCTTACATGATCAAATCATTGTGACAATTTATGGCTCTTTCTCTTTGGTTTGATTTTTCGGTGCTCACACTTTGAAGCTTCTGTCTTGGCTGTCACATTTTCTATACCATGTAACACAATTATGGAAAAAAAGAAGCAAGATATCTGGGATAGGAGAACTGTAGAGAATCAACTGTTAGATAACAATTTAAAATGTATTCTGTTAATCTGAATGTATGACAATTAACTTTATAAGGACTTATAAAATACATAAATGAATCTGATGCTCACAAAAAAAGTGAGAAGATAGAGGGGAAAGGGGAAAAAAAGAGTTGAGATGTGTTAGGCATATATAACAATTCCCCACAATGAGTGTAACTATTAGCTATGGCAAACATGACCTAATAAAATAAAACTTAAAAATGCTTATCGCAGTCATTTTAATGAGTGTGAGGTACTTGAACTAGCAGTACAAACAGATGACTCCCTTGCATTTAAGGAAAAATATTTATAGTTTGAGGAGTCTGTGGAGGAGCTAGAACAAAGGAGTGAAGGAGAAAATAACAGAATAACCTAATATCAAAAATGAGGATAAGCCAGAAAAAATCAGATAATAAATAAGGAAAAACTCTATTAGGTGAAAAGTTACAACTGTATGCTTCCAATGCTAGCACTCCAAAATAAGCAAAGCAAAGAAAAACAATAAAAAAAAAAAAATAAAATCACACCACCAGCACAAGAAGAGCAGGAAGAAAGCAACAAAGGAAAAAAAGAAATAGCCTGAAGGCTCCATAATGCTGCAAGGTGCATCATGTTATGAGTTCACAATCACACACTTCATTCCACATAGGAAATACCTGGGCCAGGGATTTAGCTCAGTGGTATAAGTGCCTGCCTAGCAAGTGCAAGGCTGTGAGTTTGGTCCGTACCACAAAAATAGAAACAAACAAACAAACAAAAAAACCCTTAGGTTACATAAAAAATACCTGTTCAAATTCCACTTAGCTCAAATTCCCCATTCATATCCCTCTAGACTTGATACTTAAAGCCCATCCCCTCAAGATATTTTTTTTTCGTACCAGGGATCCAACTCTGGACCTTGTACTTGTCAGGTAGGCATTTATGCCACTGAGCTAAATCCAGGACCCTCAAGACGTGTTTAAATACCTATAACTGCAAGGTGTCAAATAATTCTGCCCTAGGGAAGACAGGTATAACAAAAGAAGAGCTGAAAATGACATAATCTTTAAGAATTTACATTTGATATGTCTTCCTGTGACTCAAGTCAATAAAAAGCACATGACAAACTCTTAGGATAGCAATAGATACCCAATGAAAAGTGATTCTCAGATGGGGTGGGGATAGATATTCTTTCCATGAGCTACAAGGCACTGTCAGGAGGGGTTTGATGGTCACACTTGACTGGAATAGTCCTTCTGAGATTAAATGGATAGACACCAGGGATGTTTCTAAATATCCTCCCACCAGGTACAGGAATCCCTTGCATCATTTATCTAGCACAAGATCTCCACAGTGCTGAGACTAAGGAACCCTCCTGTAGAACATCACTGGATGTGGATCTTCTCCACAACATCAAATCAACTTCTGGGCTACCAGTCCTATGTGATGAAAAATGGGGCTTTGATTCCCGAATTATCTTATGGTTTGCTCCATGACCTCTGCACAGTTCAATACAGAAAAGGCATGACAGGGCCAAAGGAATTGCTTTCTGCCCTCACCAGAAAATGCTAGTTTTATGACCCAGAAAGGAATGAAAGCTTGTTTTTCCTTGACCCTAAGATTCAGGGGATGGTCCCAGGTCTCACCTGCAGCAGATCCACTGTGGAGCCGTGGCATCGGAACTCCAGATCTGAGATGAGCTCTCTCAGGGACTGGCTCTGGTGGATCACCTCACCCTCAGCTTTCTCGATAATGCTCAACCCCTTCCTCTGTTCCTCCTCCAGCTTCCTCAGTTCCCGTTGTTCTTCTTTGTCTAGGATGTTTCGCAGTTGATTAAACTCTTTCTGGATCCTGTGCCTCTCAGGCTCCATCTGATTCTTCACCATCATGGAAAGAAAAAAAAAAAAAAAAAAGAGGCTGTTGTCAGGCTGAAGGTCTCTGCTGCTGGAGGCAGGTGACTCAGGCTGACCACAGCTTTCCCTCGGGAGCAAGCAGGGAACTGAGTGCACAACTCCATCTTTTCTTTTCCTCCCTTAGTCCCTGAATACCTTATCTAACTCTTTTAGACACAACTGTGATTTCTAAGTGAGGTCTAGATTTCAGCCAGCCTCTCTAACTTCTCATGGCTTCCCCTCGGCATCCTCTATCAATTTTGAGTATTGACAGAGGAATTATTGGTCTAACTTAGCATTTTCAGAAGAAGAGAATGAAATAGTAACCTATGATCCAGAATTACGAATGAGGGGCTACCCCTGTCTCTGCTTCATCTCCCACGTAACTGTATCAGAAATCTGAGTTGTCGTGTGATATACTTGCTGTCTAAGCCCTAGTCTTGTCTGTCCTTGTTGGAAGCTATGTAATGAAGTCTTTCCAGCTACAATGTCAGGAGAGAGATATGACCAGGCTTCTTTGCTCTCTGGTCCTATGCCCTGGTCCTTTCCCAGGACACTCCAAAATGAAATCTTTCTTGCCAAAAAAAAAAAAAAAAAAAAAAAAAATCTTTCTTGCCTTCCAGGATGCCCTCTTTTCTCTGATAACAGCTTTTAGTCTCTCAGCTTCTTCCTCTTCCTTCCTCAACTTTTTCAGCGACTCTTGGAACATTTCCTGTTAGAAAAACATTAGATCAAACAGGGTGAAGCTTTAAGCTATCTCACTAGCTAAACATGGAATAAAGTAAGAGTTTGTGCTGACCACAGAAGAAGCTACTCCTACCCCGAGATGGAAAACTGTGAAGACCAAAGTATCTTTTAAACACAAGCAATCGAACTGGCAGAAGTAAGTTGATTTTCTTTCTTCTGGGGCAAGAACCTGACTCCAAAGTACTTTTACTGCCAACATATATCCCATACTCAATCCACCAGACCCCGTTTTCATCCCAAGCTTATAACAGAGGGATAACACCTCTACTCTTGGCCAGGAGGGCACTTTCTGGTTCATACTCCAGGTAAATGAAAGGAAGAAAAAGAAATCAGATGAGAGCACAATGCAAAGTTAAAGATCCCTGCCACTGACAGACCCCATTCTTCCCTCTGTCCTGGACTCCCACCTGGTACTCCTGGGCTACCTCCTCCATGAGGAATGTGTGGTGACCGCGGTGCTCCTGAGAACGCTCACAAAGCCAGCAAATTAGCGTCCCATCTTCTTTACAGAAAAGCTGGAGTTTCTCTCCATGCTGTGCACAAAGAATGACCGTTGTCTGTCTTTCTGGTCCCAACACTACCTCTCGGAGCCGCTCTGCTATGTTGGCCAAGTGCCGATTAGGCCGGAGGTGCTGGGGTTGGTAGCTGGTCTGGCACACAGGACAGCTGCTCTCCTCTTCTTGGCCAATCACTGATTTCTCAGTGTTCTCTGCGATGCAGGCTTGGCAGAAGCTGTGGCCACAGTCTATGCTCAATGGTTCTGTCAGCAGCTCCAGGCAGATGGGACAGGTCACCTCCTCTCGGATGTCCACCAAAACTCTTGAAGTCATTGTAGCTGCTCTCCTTGCTCTGGCCTACTCAGCCCTGACTTTGAAGATGGTTCTGCTTCTGGAAACCTGGGTAAGAGAACAAATGAAAACGGATTGGGACAAGAAAGAGACTAAAGGGATGCTCCTATTCTGTGCTAGGAAAATACTTGAGATAACAAGGTTAGACACTTGAGATAACAAGAGCTTCTCATTCTAATTTCTCACACTTTCATTACTGCAACTCATGAGACATTAAATTCAAACATTATTAAGCCAGTGATTACGATTTTCATTTGCCCTTATAGGGTGGAGGGACAAACAAAAGACTCTGGACAGGGAGGCCTTGTGTGACCCCTCATCTGCTGGACCTCTACCTACCTCACTAAAATGCATTACCAAAACACACCGCTGCCTGATTTCTGCATTTACCGTTCCTGCTGCAGGGGCAATGCTTTATCTTGGTGTTGCATGAATCACTTCTCGCATGTCCCTTATCAGAAGGGTCTGCTCTGCGGGGACTAAACTGTGGCCACGGCACAATCACTCTCTGTATCTACCTGATGTTTTTTCTTATTACTGCCTGATACAACTGTCTCAATCTCCTAACCCTGTGAGATCAGACACTTTTTAAAAAAAATTCATGGTGTATTTACAGCAGCTACTACAGTGATCAATGCACAGGCCCTCTACTTTGGATGAATGAAAAGATGGAAATTCATCCTCACTCCACACATGATTTTGAGTAAACCTTTCCTGTTTTTAACCTCTTTGTATCATCCTCTGGATCCATCTCCAAAGGCAAATATTGATTATGAAGACCCGTCTGCTTCTGTTCCATACAGCCTTGTCATCCTTCTTGTGTACCTCAGGAAAGTACAAAGACTAGGACAGATAATATTCTAACACTTCTTCTTTTTATCTTTTTGAGACAGAGTCTCACTAGGCAGTTCAGGATGGCCTTGAACTCACTTTGTAGCCCAAGATGGTCTCAAACTCTTAATGATCTTCTACTTCAACCTTCCGAGTGTTGGGATTACAGATGTATACCACACACCTGGTTTAAACATTTCTACAACTAGTTAAACTTTTAGGGGTGGGGATTTAGCTCAGTGGCACAAATGCCTTTCTGGCAAATGTGAGGTTGTAAGCTCAATCCCCAGTACAACAACAACAACAACAACAACAAAAATCATGCTTTTTTTGGTGGTGGAAGGCAGTACCTGGGATTGAACCTAGGACTTTTGCAATGCACTATAATCCATTTTTTTGTTGTTGCTGAAACAGAGTCTCGCCAAGTTGCCTCCACTGGGACTCAAACCTGTATTCTCCTATCTCAGTATCCCAGAGTGGTGTCGAAAATGCGTTTTTTCAATCCCTTATAAGACAACAATACATAAATGTATGCATTCTTGGGCCTTCAATAAGGAGATAGAGACAATGAGTGACTTTAATATTACCTTTGTTTGAAATCACCTGTGAGCATATATTTTTGAATCCTTATGAAAATATGTTTCCAGCACTGAATCATTCTCACTGGAAAACATTTTTTTGCTTAGCTGGAGTTGGGTATGGGTTACAAAAAAAAAAAAGCAGCAGCAGAGCACACTGCCCATGAATGGTGCAATGACACAGGACAGGTCACAGGATATCCTGTAGCAGGTGGAATTCCTTAATTTGTCTTTGACCAGTCCCCAAGAAATGCATGTGCACACTGACACAAAATGACTGAATGTAGGCTGAAGACCTATAAACTATACCAATTCCCAACCTATGGGCCTGGTAGACGTAAGGAAACATAACCCCCTGCCAGTAACAACACTCCTATCACATGAAAAGGCCTAAGAATGTGCGAAGAAAGAGAAAGTTGTAAAACAACAGCTGAGCAGGGCTACTAGGAGGAACTCTGCAGGAACTGGTGTGCCAAGGTGAGGGCCTGAGTACTGCCATCTAGTGTCCGGTGGGGTTCCTGCAAGTCCTGGACCAGGAACCCACTCTGCTCTGCTTAGTAAGAGCAATGCAGTAATACCTCTCTAACTGCTATGAATATCCCTTAAACCCCATTTTATGGTTGTCTAATTGGAGGCAAAGAGGCTAGCCCATGTCAGTAAGTGGGTGTTTGAGTGTAGATGTCCAAGCTACAGAGCTGGGGCTCTGCCTGCTCCTTTATCTGCCTCTTCTCCATAAAGGGTACAAAATTTAATTGTGGACAAGTTAAAGAACTGAATGCATACTTAGTATTACTAACTAGTGTTACCTTTCATCTGAGGTACTAACAAAATTAACCACACCTCCAGGAATTGTTAGTTTGTTATTATCTCTGGTCAAAAACACGTTATCTCACTTAGCACATGCATTATGAGTGTCTATTGTTTTTGCTAAATTAGGATTACAGAGGCCCAATCTCTTCTTCTCTTTCCTATGTACACAGAAGCCTAAAACTGCACTTACCACAAGAAATAAAAAATATTATTTGAATTTCAAATTATAACTTACTGCTGATATTATAGCTGGGCTTGATGTTGGCATTGGACTATGGACCCCCATGTGCCAATTTATGAAATTATAGTATTAAAAAAATTATAGTGGTATTATACTTTTTTTGGTATTAGGGATTGAACTCATGACCTCACACTTGCCAGATGTGCTTATGCTGGTGACCTAAATCCTCAGCCCTATGTATACAATTTTAATGGAAGGTATACCTCACCTTCCTCAATGCACACATATCCTTACTTTTAGTTCGGGCAAAATTTTACCCAGAATACAGAGTTCTCTTGAGGAAGAATATCTCCCTCATCAGAATGGCTCAGAAAGAATCTGTCCATAGAAACACTAATGAGCTGGGCATGGTGTCTCATGCCTGCAATCCCAGTATTTGGGAGACTGAGGCAGGAGGATTATTGGAAGATCAAGACCAGGCTGGCCTACAAAGTTAGTTCAAGGCCAGCCTGAACTGCATAGTGAGACCCTGTCTCAAAAAGACAGAAAAAACAAAAACAAAACAAAAAAGAAAGAAAGAAATATTAACTGGTAAAGGGACAAATTGTGGTATATCATCACAACCCTGTTAAAAGATAAATTATGAAAAAAAGACAAATTATAAAGTGCAATGGAAAAATGAATGTTTAAATGTTAAAAAATTATTACAGTAAAACACACACTGCCATTAATGTTCCTCAAAATAGTTCCCCTCACTGAGAACACACTTCTACTTTTCTTGTCATTTCCTGAACAGTTCTGGGAATTCTCTTTCATGAGAGTCTTTAGTTGGACTGTTGGGGCTGTGTCCATGTCCTGCACTGATTCAAAACATTTACCATACACGGACAGTTTGACTGTGGGGAAGAGCCAGAAGTTCCCCAGTGCCAGAGCTGCTGAATCAGGTGGATGAAGACACATGTTTTTACAAGCCTGTCTTCCAGCTGGACAGAAATTAGAAGCAGCACTCACTGTACTGTATGTTTGATCACATCTTGTGTAAAGATATGGAAAGAGACTTTGAGAATCTTTTTAGAAAGTGATCAGGCCAACTAAGTGATCAACTAAGTGATTAGTTCAGCGGTACAGTGCCTGCCTGGCAAGGATGAGGTCCTGAGGTCCCGAGTTCGATTCTCACTCCCACCCCCACCAGAAAAGTGATGGTATGATGAGATAGGTGTACTTGAAGTGAGGGGAGTATTTTGAAGGACATTAATGGCAATGTGTCTTTTTCTATAAATAAATTTTAAAAATTTAAAGATTTGCTACATATTTTGATTCTATCATGTTTTTACAAATCTTAACTGGATATATTTGTGAGTCAGAATCAGGGAGCAGTCTGAAACAAATGACTCAGAATACTCTACACTATCATAAAGTTGGTTTTATTTCTGTCCCGTAGGAAATGTAGCAAGGCAACTTTAGAAGTGTAATATAATCAATTCAGTGACACTTCTGATACATACAACAGGGTGAATCTCAAAAGCATTATGCAAGGTGAGGTACCAAATACCAAGACAAAAGAACTGTGTGATTCCATTTATACAAAATCCCAGAAAAGGCAAAGGTGCAACATTTGAAGCTATCCAAGGCCCCAGGGTGTGAGAAGAGGTGAATTGCAAAATGGTGTAAAGAAACTGAGGATAAAGGAAATGTTCTTTATATATCATGACTGCTGGTTGTCACACAGTAACCAGCAGTGCAAATTAGAACTTTAAAACTACAAACCTTTAGAGACAAATGGCTTTTTTTTTTTTTTTTTTGTCTTTTTCGTTTTTACCGGTACCAGGGATCGAACTCACGACTGCTTGCTTGTAAGGCAGGCACTTATGCCGCTGAGTTAAATCCCCAGCCCCTACGAATGGCTTCTTCAAACTTCCTCAGGTCTAGGGCACACATGGCTCCCCCTACCTCTCATAGGCCCAGATGAATGGGCAGAATATGTAGATACTGGTACCAGGAGAGCACGCCCAATTTCAAGGTTAAGCAAGGCAGGGAGAGGTTTCCTGACTGCAGATATGCCAAAATAGAATTGTACACTTCAATTTGTAACTAAACAGATACAATTATAGCTCAATATAGCTGACAAGAAGAAGAAAAAATGGAAAAAAAGAGAGGGAAAGAAGGTAGAGAAAAAATGGAGAAAAAGGGAAAGCTTGGCTTCTGACCCTATAAACATGAATCAGAACCATGTTGTCAAATATAATAGCTCTATGTGGTTACCCAGCATTTGAAGAGTGGTTAATCGGAAATGAGCATTAAAGTATGAATACAGATCAGATTTTGAGGACGTATTAAGAACAAATAACCCAAGGTGGCTCATTAACATTTTATAATGATTTTTGTATAGTAACACTTCAAATGCACTGGGTTCAATAAAATATATTAAAATTAATTTCACTCGTACTTTCTGACATAGCTATTAGAAAATTTAAAATTGACTACATGAGTCTTTCAATTTCATTAGATGTTCATGTTCTTTGCTTGTTCTTTTTTCCCCAGTGGTGGGGCACCCAGAATCCCATTCATATTGGTTGAGCACTCCAGCACTGAACCACATCCCAGCCCACCCGGCTTCCCATCTAATAATACGCTGACTCAGATTCCTG